AGTTCTTCGAATGGGCAGATCCTCTGACTTCAGTTCATCTGCCTGGCGCTTTACTTTGCACAGTTTGAACTTTGTTACCCTCTAGTTTCCTGCTCGGTCTCAGCATGCAATGCACTTCCTATAATTTGACAGCCTAAGTTTATCCATTTACCAATAGTTGGCTTTCAATGCTCTACATATTTACAGGGTATGCGGCGAGCAGAGCACTTCAGCAGAACTTTTGGGCCATACTTAAATATGCTGAATGCTTTAGTGCAACATTTTCATCCACTTGGTATCCCTGCCTGCCCCATAATCCATCCAAATGAATGCTGATGCATTTCCTTTCAATTTGTGCTCCAATTTTAAGCTGTTTTCCATGCTAGCTTCAAGTCTGGCTTAATTAGCAGCGCCTACAATGTATGCAAAGTCCTGTAGAATATCGAATCGATAGACTTGAATTTTTCATTTACCAAGAGAAGCAAAAACTCTATTAAATTTCATCGCATATTCTCAGGCGCTGCAACATTATGTCTTATATAATGTGTGTGCATGACTGTGTGTGTGAGGGTGTGTGCGTGTGCGTGTGCGTGTTATAGCCTTTTGTTTTTACCAACTGCAGTGCAACACTACTTGCCCTTATCTGGCTCGATATTCCCACACTTTGACCCCATGCCACAAGGCCTCCCTCTGCGTGCATGCGTGTGTGTGTGCGTGTGCGTTCATATGTGCTTTTGGTATGTCTGTCTGTCCCCCCCTTTGCCCCATTTCAGCAGAGAGCATATCAAACATTTCAAAAGTTGTTATTACTGTTCGGGTGGGCCAGTTCGCATTTGCTGGCGCTTCATCAACATGATGAGCGCATGCAGAGCTGACTGCATGACGGACGGCTTGACAGACAGCATGACGGACTGTGTGACAGGCGGACACAAGTTTCAATCACATGCAAGGCAGCAGCAGCAGCAGTAGAGTTCTCTGATAGACCATTTCATTGCCACAAGCAAAACTAGATTGAAAACTTGTTTCATAAAATCAAAATTAAATTATAGATAGAAGTGAATAGCCATTTCGCTGAGTGTAGGCCTGAAAAACTTTGCCAAGAAAATAGCTCAAGTTTTGAATTAAACAAAAAATGAATACAAAAAGGGGAAAGAGGAGGAAAAAAGCAAAAATTCAATGCCAAAATGAAATTTTATAGACTCGACTCGAGACTCGAGTGCATTTCTCCAAGTGTAGTCACCTTGTTGATATAGCATTAAACGTTGAAACACTAAGAGCATGTTCAGTGCTTGGTTAAATGACGCATGCTGATGCTGCTCCTGCTTCTGCTCCTGCTGCTGCTCCTGCTGCTTCTTTTTGGACGTCGCGTTTTTGTCTGCTTGCTTTTGGTCCTTTTATCTCTGCTTTGGCAACGATAAAGCTACACACACACACACACACTCACACACACACACGTATATCTACACCTACACAGCAACATTTGTCAATTGCTTTCAATGCCCAGGGACGCAAAACTGGGAACGTGACTAAAATGTACTCGAAATGATGAGCAGAAACTTAGCTGACAATTGAAGTCGACTCAACCCGAGCGCATTAAAGTAATTTTCTGGCTCAGCTGAATGCAAATGGCGACATTCACATAATTACTGTAGCCCGAACGTGTATCAAGCGAGGTACCAAGGGTTATGAAAGACTCGGTCAAGTTCTGCTCCAAAGCTCATTCAGACTCGAAGAGCAGCATCGCAGCTTGAAGTGAAATTCCATAAAATTCATGTGTTTTCTTTGAGTTTTCCGAGTGTCAAGAGAATTTGGTAGCAATTTAAAGTTACATTGGAAATGTATAGAACTCGAGGGAACTCTGTTTTATTAAGAGGCTAGAAGGCGTGGCATATCGTGAGTAGCTACAGCATGGAGCAAGAGTAGTCAAGTGATATTCTTTTGCTCTTTAGTATTATGTCCTATATTAAATCTTAACCCTATATTAACTCTTTAAGACAGTTCTCTTTAAGAGAGTTAAGACTCTTCCGACTACAGGAAAGCCCTTAACAGGATGTTCCATACGATTGAATCAGTTCTTCGGGCTGGTCAAAAAGGAGATATAAAGCGAGCTGGTAATGCTTGCTTCATTTACAATGTCCCCTCCTTGAGTAAGCCGACTCACGGTACTCACAGTATTCTGTTTTATAATTTTACAAATATCACAGCCCGAATCGACATCTGCCGCCACCTGCAAAAGTTAAAGTGCTCTCCAATACCTAGGCTTACATTCGACCCACCCCCAGGTCTTATCTCAAGCTGCCTTAAATTTGGAGACATGAACACCTATATTCTTCCTAGATAGTTGCAGCAGGTTCCGCCAACACATTTGGACGCATTTGTGTACGTGATAAAGCAGAAAAAAAAACACAATTGAAAATTTGCTACTCTCCACATATATGACTTTAAATATGGAGCCAATACAGCTGGCGTGGATTTGTAGTAATTTCGAGCACCATTCTTACATTCATTACCATCATGAGCAATCAAAATCATATGAAATAATAACAACGCCAGTCCACCAAATAACTTCCTGTGGTTGTAATGGTGTTTCGACAAAAGCTTGTGGATTATCCCCACTCAGTATGTAACAAATCTGATTATTTAATAACATATAGTCATGCTAAAGTGGGTTGCATCATATAATAGAAGAAGGGCACATTGAAAATGATGTCAGTATATTATGGCTAAGATATAATTAGATAGAACAAATTAAATATTTCTCAATTATTTCTCTACCTAAATGTTGTGGACAAGAAAAACTTGTTGTTCTTTGTCTAACATCGTAACTCTAGAGAGAGAGAGAGAGAGAGAGAGAGAGAGAGAGAGAGAGAGAGAGAGAGAG